TCTGAATATCAGCCCCTTTCCGGGGGCACTCTTCAAATATCTCAGAATCTGGTACACAACGTCCATATGATCCTTCCTCGGATCGTGCATGTAGCGACTCACCACGCTCACTGCAAAAGAGATATTAGAACGTGTGTGACTCAAATAGATTAACCTTCCCACCAGCCTCTGGTATCTGTCACGATCAACTGGTTCTCCAGCCTCAGCACCTAGCTTGAACTTCTGGTCGATCGGTGTAGTTGCAGGTTTGCACCCTAACATCCCTGTCTCTTTGAGAAGATCCAGTGCATACTTTCTCTGGGATAGGACGATTCCCTCCGCTCCTCGAGCTATCTCTATTCCAAGAAAGTATCGAAGCAAGCCAAGATCTTTCACCTTGAATTCCTTACCCAGTCTTACTTTGAGTTGGGCAATCTCCTTCTCATCATCTCCTGTAATAAGCATATCATCCACATATACCGCCAGCATGGTAATGTGGCCTCCACTTCGTCGAAAGAACACGGTATGGTCGGCGTTGATCTGCTGGTACCCCATACCAATCATAGCCCTTCTGAATCTGTCAAACCAAGCACGAGGAGACTGCTTCAGCCTATAGAGAGACTTCTTCAATCTATAGACCTTTCCCACTGTCTGATCTGTACCGAATCCTGGTGGTATCTCCATGTATACCTCCTCCACTAGATCTCCATGAAGAAATGCATTCTTCACATCTAGTTGGTGTAGCTTCCATCCACCATTTATTGCCAGAGAGATTAAGGTCCGAACAGTGCTCATCTTCGCCACCGGTGCAAAAGTCTCATCATAATCGATGCCATATGTCTGACTATACCCTTTTGCCACCAGACGAGCCTTGTAGCGCTCAACTTGTCCATCTGGATTCTGCTTCACAGTGAAGACCCACTTGCATCCAACTGCTCTCTTCCCTTCTGGTAGTTTTACTAGCTCCCAAGTGCAGTTCTTCTCCAGAGCTCCTAGCTCCTCGTGCATATAGCTCCTAATGCATAGCTGCTTTCCACTTTGGGTCCTTCTTAGCAACCTGTCAATTGTTAGGTACAGTAACAGAATCCAATGATGCAATGAATGGGTGGATATTAGAATATGATATAAACTGGGCAAGATCCCAACCATATCTATCGGGAGGATGTCCCGCACTGCTGCGAGTAGTCCTCCTTACTGACATTGGTGTGGGAGGAGTAAGGAGAGGATTGATATCACCTTGGGAGGAATCTGATGGTGGTGTAGGTGTCTCAGGAGTCGGGACAGGCGTTGGTAAGGGACCTGACACTAGTGACACTGTAGGTACTGTTTCCGCAATTTGCTTCCCCTTCCTACTATAGGTAAGTAGCTCCCCCTGAGCCGTGGGCCTAACACCTCTTGTCACCTTATCCTCTTCTTCTTTATTCTCCTGCTCCTCCTCAACCAATTCTCCTTCCCAAGGAATCGTTAGAGAAATCGATTTCTCCACATTATTCTCTACATTATTCATCTGCCTCTCACCATTCTCCCCTTCTCGCCTCATACTTCCAGTATTGGGCGAGTCACCAACGGATGAGGGTACCTTCTGTGTGTAATATGGCTCAAATTCACGAAAGTACACATCCATGCTCACGAACAGCCTTTTCTCCACCGGGCTCCAGCAAACATATCCCTTTTGAGTAGCAGAATATCCCACAAAAATACACTTCACCGCTCTAGGGGTAAGCTTCCCGACGGATGGTCTGTTATCCTTCACAAAACACACACAGTCAAATACCTTCAGTGGAAGAATCCCACCATTATCTCCTTTCAATGTCTCACACGGAGACTTCCAATCCAGTACTCTTGAGGGCATTCTATTGATCAGCGCCGCTGCAGTCAACACCTCTTGCCCCCATAATGTTTCTGGAACATTCATGGAGATCATCATACTTCTAGCAACCTCTAAAAGATGTCTGTTCTTCTTTTCTGCTACCCCATTCTGAGCTGGTGTGTATGGACACGTAGTCTGGTGTTGTATTCCCTGAGATGACAAGTATTCTCCAAACACTCTGTTGGTGTATTCTGTCCCATTATCAGATCTCAATACCTTCACCACTGCTCCATATTGGGTCTGAACATTCCTATGAAAGTTTTGAAAGCAGCCAAACACTTCACTCTTATTCTTCATCAGGTATAACCAAGTAACGCGAGAGAAGCAATCAATGAATGTAACAAAATACTTGTATCCGTTCATAGAACTTGTGGAACAAGGCCCCCAAACATCTGAATGTATCAGATCAAATGCATGAGAACTCCTATGATCAGAACTAACATAAGAGCTTCTAGTAAGCTTTCCCAACTTACATGCATCACACACAAGTTTCTCTTTATTTGCTTTATCAAATAAAGATGGATACAACCTACTTAAAGTACCAAAGGATGAGTGTCCCAAGCGCTGGTGATGAAGCATCAATTCACTCTCGGCACTCATTTCAGATCCTACTTCTACTCTCTCTACCATTGACACCAAAGCTGAGTCCAGCCCCTCACGATCTACGTACCACAGTCCATTACTCCACGTGCCAGTCCCAAGTCTCCGTCCTGTCCCTTTCTCCTGAAAGATCACCTTGAGAATGTCAAAAGAAACGATACATTTTAGTTGGAGGATAATAGCACTAATGGACAAAAGATTTACTGGAAAGGAAGGAGCATGCAAAACATTGGACAGAGTTACAGAACCTGTACAATTAACGATACCCTTACCAACCACAGGCTGAAATGTACCATCAGCTGTTTGGATGCTATCTGCTGATGCTAGGTGAGTGTATGACGAGAACTCACTAGCGTTGCCCGTCACAAGTCGAGATGCACCGGAGTCGACAATCCATTCTGATGGTCTATTGGGAGATATAGAAGCAAGAGCATGTATGTCATCCGTACCTTTGGTCGGATGAGCATAAGTAGCAGAGTTGCCTTTGGATGTCTCCTCAGTTCCACTTCTTCTGTCCCCATCTCCTGCTACTCTCTGCTTCCTCCGAAGAATCTCCAGGATCATATGTTCCTCCTCAGTAAAGACCATCTCAGTTGCTTCCTCTTCCTCTGCTACCATCAGATTCGCTCGATTCCCTGCTCCTCTTCCACCTCGTCGACCCCCACGGCCACGACCACGACCTCCAAACTGTACACGTCCACCCGAATCTCCTTCCTTGGGTGGCTTGGTGCAAGCATGCCTTAGATGACCCACTGTGCCGCAGTTGTAGCACTGTCGAGTCTCTCCCCTAGATCCAGTGTTGCTAGAGGCTGCCATTGCTGACTTCACCACAGGAAGTCCACCTGTCCCCGCCTGCAGCCGAATGCGAGTCTCCTCCTAGATCATAGCAGAGACAGCCTCCTCAAGCGTGGGAATCTTCGGTTGAGCTAGTAGCAATGCGATTCGCTGAGCGAACTCTGATGTCAATCCCTTGAGAAACACCATAGACCTCTCCTGTAGAAAGGCCTCCCGCTCTTTACATCCCGGGTCCTTGCAGCTAGCCCGGGGGGGAAATGATCATAATCCAGCCACAGGCGCTCCAACTCTGTAGCATATTCCTGTACAGTCCTCTCTCCCTGGACTGTGGCATCGATCTCTCCTTTAATCTGGAATACCCTCAGGTTATTCCCCACTCCATCATATGTCCTCCTCAACTTCTCCCAGACGTCCTTCACCTTCTCAATGCCATCCACCGTGGCGGCGATCGTCGGGACCAACGAGTTGAGAAGCCAGATGTACACCAACATATGAGTGGACTTCCACTCATCTCTTCCCTCTGAGTCCTCTTCCGGCGCTGTCACCTCTCCTGTCAGATAACCCTCCAGATTCCTCCCTGCAAGGGTATATCTCACCCGCCGTGACCTGACCAGCTCAGGTACGTACTAGGTCCATCCAGCTTCAGATCGATGGTCGGAAGCTCCAACTTCTTCGATGGTTTTGTCGCGCTCTCCCCAGCCGACAACTTCATCAGCTTCATCAAAGTTGACACATCCGCAGGGTTCAACTTCTTGATGATCTCCTCCATCGAATAGGCTTCAGACCCATCACCTGTTCACCTTCTCTTCTGACCCTTGTTGTGTGCAGTAAAAATTTTAGCAGCACCTCTGCTGCACAACAAGAGTAGGATCTCAAACAAATTCTTGTTTCTCAGAGGAAACAAGAACCAAAAATAGTTATATATCTCATCGCTGTGAGATATATACTCTTCCTGTCATCAGTTCGAGGACTGAGTCGAGGGAATCCATGCCAAGGAGGGAAAGGGGAGGGGGGGGGGCGGCGGCTAGGAGAGAAGAGGGTGGAGGCTCTGATACCAAATTGAAAATAGAGAGAAAACCCTAACTTTATTACTCCATAAGATGGGCTTATATAGGCCCTTACTACACAACTTACAAATAACACCCTATCTATTACTAATATGTCAACAGGCAGCGGATGTTAGTTTCTGAGTTAGATGGACTAAAGACGCACAAAAAAAGTACATTGGGGCGCGCGCGCGCGCCGGGGGGGTTACTGTAGCTTCAGTAGAGGATTAGGCGAAATATTTGCTTCGGTGGTTTGAGCACTTGGAATGGAGGCTGATTATGGCTCTAGACAACAGGAGGCAATGGTTGATGGTCTTCCAGAGTAATTTAAGACTGGAAAAAGACTTACGTGAATGCACATGCATCGATCTTCAAGAGGATATGATAGGCGGTGTGCTTTCAATAGGATATGATAGACGGTGTGCTTTAGCTGAATGGAGATGACATTCATGTATATGTCTGAATATGCGCGATCACAGTTCTTGCCTTTAATGCAAGGAAAAGTTGAACGATAGAAAAATTGCTTGTCAGAAATGTGGTGCGGCAAGATATACTTGGTATTTGAGCTTTGCAATACGCGTCAAACTTCTGAAGTTCTTTTAGTTTGATCTTTGCGATACACTCCAATTTTTCTCTTAAGGATGTTTTCGATGGATGGTATTATTGGATCTGTCCAATATAATTACAGTCCAAGTTATGTCACCTGTTCCTGAATTCTTAACATAATTTCACAGAAGCAACTGCAACATGACATTTACATGGGAACTGTACTACCTATCAGATAATCATCATGATGGCAGATTCAGGCAATTGGATGGCCTTTCCAATAACTGATCAGGCTCATTGCATTTGAGAATCAGACCTACTATATCCAAACGATATCTCATATTATTTTTTATTTCTATGTTCTTTAATTATATCCGCAAGTCTCTTCTGCAAATCCCAACCTAGATCCCATAGTATCATACACAACTCTCAGATTCTTCTGCTGATAGTTCCCTATAATCCCTACTTCATCCTCATAAGATAATCCTGTGAAAGCCAAACACACTTGAGATGCATCGGACTTAACAAAATAAAAAACACCACTAACATCGACTTCAACCTCCACTGCACTTTCAAACTCCAGCTTTACTGTAGGAATGTTCACCTCCTTTTTTCCTGACAAGTCAAAACAAGTGTCCAATATCGAAAACCCTGGAACTGAAGGGTATTGCGAGAATTGCTCCAAGAACTCATCTTTCACAGCCTTGTAGATAGAAGGAACAAGCCTAGTAATCACTGTTCCCGAGTCTATAAGAATCTTACCACTCAAAAAACCAGAAGCCTGTAGAGAAACTCCACCGATGCTCATACCCGTAAGGTTAAGAAAATAGAAAGGAGACTGGTTAGGATCCAAGATCATTCTAGTATACACCACAGGAGTTGAGTTTCTATAGCTAGAGGAATCACTTCCAAGAACCAAAGCACCAGAAGAATCAAATTCCTTTGTAGGCAGGCAATAGGAAAAAAACCCTCCAAACTGATCAGTGGTTTGAGACACCAAGGAAAGTTCGCTTTGGGCGAGCCCCATTAGACCTGAGGTTCCCCCAAAGAGCCCACGATTATTTTGCCCACAGCCAAAAGCAAATCCTTCGATGACTGTTCCAGCTAGTTTTATCTGGTCACGAGCTAGGATTCCACGAGTATATGATCCATCTCCATAACTAATAGCATAGGTGCAACTTGGATGGTTTAAGCTGCAGTTGCTCGAATCTCCCGTAGATACTTGAAGAGAGTGACAGGTTGGTGAATTGCATTGAATTGGTTGGTAAGAAAGAGAAGTAGAGGGATCAAAAATAGGATCTTGTTGATTGTAGCAAGATTGGCATGGTTGGCACTGAATCCATGTCAGATCGCTTCCTGTGTCAACGATCACTGTCATCTTTCTTGATCCTAATTCAATGTTCACGATGTAGTTTAGAGTCTGGAGCTTTCTTCCAGAGGTTAGAGGGATTTGGGCTTTTGATGATCCTTGTTGACTCTTGCTAGAGATTTTATTCATTCGAGACAGCAAGTAAGAAACTCGTGCTTCATCTGAGACCATTATCATTTGAAGTTTATCTTCTTGGTTTGGAGTTGGTTCCCAAGAGGTACTGTGGTGCCTCATTTCAAGCACTATAGCATCCTTTTCTCTTCCTGCTCGTGAGATAAATTTGGTCTTTGATTAGAGGATTGAAATGCGTTCTGGAGAGTGGATCTTACTTAAAATATACAGAAAAAGTTGGTTTTCTTTGCAAGCACAAAAAGGAATAATATATATAGGTGCAAAATCTACTTCCCATTTCAGAGGAAATAAGAATATTTCCGAATTCAGATGGATATATTTCTGACATGTTGGAGATATACTTTATCAGAATTGAGTTTTGCTGTGGAGATCTAAAATATTGGTTCTAAACTTCTCGCGGTGAAGATGTATTGGAAAAATTTGAAGTCATGACATAGTTTGATCAGTTGTATTGAGGTAGAAAGAACACCTGAATTCATGAAATGTTTCGATCAGCTGCAACTGGAAGTGGAAAGGAATAGGTTTCTGGGGGTTTAATCGAACTAGGTTTCTGTGACAATAAAAATGGCAAATTCCCTGATTCAGATACATGCCTGCAAGAATATTAATCAATACTATTACTTCCGATTTATAAGAGATTAATGAATCTCTGGTGTTCTACTAGAGGACTGTGACTAGTTTTGAGCATATATTCCAGGTCACAAAGTTGCACTGGAACTGTAAAATGCAAATACGGATTGATAAAATGTACCAAAACTCTGTATTTAGTTAAAATAAAATTAAAAATTTCTCCAGCAGTAGATACAGACATTAATAAAACTATAACAAACTAATTTTCGATGTCTTTTTCTTAATGCAGAGAAAGCTTCGAACTAATCTTACTTGATCTCTGTGGTAACAAGGGCTGAGATGGTCTGCTTCTCCTCCAGTGCAACTCTTCCAATGAAATCACTGTCGTGTCTGCAGTGCAGTGAACTCCACTTCCAACGGCGACAAGAAGAAGAAGAGAAAGAAGAAGTTGATGAATAAGCCAACGCATTGTTGCCATAAACGTTACCAAGTTAAAGCTGATGAAAGATGAAGGGAGCTTAAAGAGAGAGGAAGAGATATAGAGTGGGGAAAAGAGAGGGAGTAGTGTCTTTATGAGAGATTCTTGTGAGTGGTGGATTTAGGCAAGGGAACAAAGGAGAAGGGGCTGGCTCTCTGGACCCACCACTTGTGCTTGAGAATTATTGTAACATTCACATGCATTTCCTCCTCCTCTACACAACAAGTCAAGCCACAGAACCTAATCCTGCTGCTGCTCCTCCCCCCAAAACTAAAACCACAAGCACTTGTTGCTTTGTCTTTAAGCTTCATTGCTTTCTATTGTGAACTGGGTGCATTAAGGTACATTATAGCAGTGTTACAGAGGACAAGCTGTTTGCTGGCCTTTTCTGTGTTTGTTTGTTACTGTAGACAGCCCACGCCTGCTTAAAACCCCTCCCTAATTAATAGCATAATAACTGTACTACTATTGCTAATATATGTAGAAGCAAATTTTTTGGGACATCTTAGTGTAAGTAGTAGGTGATTTATTGGGCCTTTTTCTATTCGATAAAATTTGAAGGCAGTATGATAATTGTATGTTGGAAAAATTGCAATAAGGAGAATAAAAGAAAATTGACTTGTGTTTCTTCGATCCCGGTTACAATTTGATTACAAAAGAGAGGAAAACGAATTTGGTTCTCCCCTTTGTTTAATTCTGGGTTCTTCACGGTAGCGATGGAGTGCCTCCTTCGAATGCTTGCGTCGATTTGTTTAATTCTGGGTTCTTCACGGTAGCGATGGAGTGCCTCCTTCGAATGCTTGCGTCGAATTTGCTCTCCGTTGACGCCTTCGAATGCTTGCGTCGAATTTGCTCTCCGTTGACGATCCGAATATCTTGATTCACTGGAACGATGTTTTCTCCTCACGATTTGACGTTGTGGAGAATTTGCGTGGCAAGTTTAAAACTCTTGATGAGTTGATAACTCTGATCGAGTTTAGGACTCTTGAAAAAGAGTTGATTTGAACCGAGAATCGGTTCTCAAGCCAAGGCCGAAGGCTTCAAGGAATGCTCCAAAGGATGAATGCCGATCTCTCACTTTGCTGCCAAGTCTCAGATCCGAAAATGCCAGCTGAAAAAGCCTTGAACTCCGGACCAAAGAAGCCAACCCTGAACTCAGTTGAGTTTACTCGCTTTTATAGGGGATTAAGGGGATGTAACCACCCCTTAAATTACTCCTAAGTGGGGTGTAACCGCCCACAAATCATGGGAACCGGTTTTAGAACCGTTCAGCTCATGTTTGAACGAGTCAAACGCCTACGTTGGCGTTCAGGACCCTAACTCTGTATTTTAGACTGGAGACGCGGAGTTGGGTACCCGCTGGGCATTGAAAAACGCGGGTCTGACCCCAGCGTTTTAATGTTGTAACGTGGGTCCGACTCCAGCGTTTTGATGTTGTAACGCGGGTTCGACCCTCGCGTTTTGATGTTGTAACGTGGGTTCGACCCTCGCGTTTTACTGTTGACACACTGGGAGGACCTCCGCGTTTTGGTGTTGATACACAGGGAGGACCTCAGCGTTGAATTTGGAACACGGGTGTGACCTCAGCGTTCGGTTTTTGCATCGCGGGTCTGACCTCAGTGTCTGACCTCAGCGTTTGGTTTTTGCATCGCGGGTCTGACCTCAGCGTTTTAATGCGGAGGTGACTTTCATGCATTTTTGACTAAGTCTTTGAGACTTGTCTTCAGCTTATTCGTTTCAAGTCTCAGCTCACATCCATTAAGCTAATGGATTTACGAACATGCATAGGATATTTGGCAAACCCTCAGCCATCAACGGATTTGATAAGCCTTTACCGACTACCGTTTGAGTCGGGCTAGCATGTGAATTATTTGAATCCGTTCCACATGTAACGTTGTGCTAAGAGAATGAACTCTCTTAGTCTTGATGCTATGATTTTGAATACATAGACTTTGTCATTTTTACAGAAAAAGACTAACCGGCAACGCGTGTTAGGCCTAGGCTTATCCCTACTTAGGATTTGGGATAAAGTTCCCCATGCGTGTAAGGCATGGATTTTGGCGTTATTAATAAC